ATACTCCCAACGAACAGAACAAACTTCACTGAGACAACCTCGTTATCTTCACCTGTTAATCATGTACAAATGGAGTAAAAATAACCCAAATGGGGATTTTTTTAAAAAGGAATCATTAAACATATTGGGAAATACTCTTTTAAGTCTTCCTGCCAAGTTAGAGACAACTACTCTCATGTCTGTCTGATGACTATGAAGCTACAACCAGTTAGCTTAGCTTAGCAGAAAGACTGGAACAAACCCAGGCAAGCTGTTTCCAGTCTGCGCGCTGTAAGCTAGCGGCACAGGCATAGTGGTATTCTCCTCCAGCTTTTGGTATTCCTTTCATTTAAATGCGAAACATGTAAGGTATTAAATTGCCCCAGGCACCAGAACATCCCATAAGCAGGTCTGATTTCAGGCTTTGGATATTTTCAAACATGTGGTAGCAGTTTCCACCCGAAACACATGAGATTTTGAGTTCTACCTGGAGGACAGTAACTCTCCTATCAAGAAGTGTCCTATGGAGCAGCTTCACGGCCCAAACCACCAAACAAATGCTATGCAAGCAGATGAGATCCCTTTGCTCAGCATTTCATGATCTATTCCTAATGTCTTGTATTGAATACAATTATTTGAAGGAAAAAAAATTCTGCAATGTATTTTACTGACAAAAATAATGTCAATTAAGCTACCCATGTGGTTCATGTCAATGGTTTCGTTGTATGTTGGGAAGGTGTAAAAGGAAAGCCTACAGCGTACAGAAATACATTATAATGTTTCCAAGTTGTTATCAGCCTGTCATGGCTTCACCTCAGCTGACCAAAAGAAAAATTTAAATTGAGATGAAAGATGACACTGAGAGCGAGCAGCTCTATGAACACAGCTGTAGTTTTGGCCAAACACACCGACAGGCACATCTAGTTTTTGTCATCCTTTAACATCTCTTCCCCTCTCACATTCCCCTTTTTCATTATCCCCGTTCTTCCCCTCCGTCTCCATTTCTCTAGGTGCATGAGGGTAATTGGCACTCTGTTTCTTTAATTAAAATGAGGTCCAATTGTAGCTGAAGCGGGGCAAATGTTCGTAGGCCTATAATTTCCCGAACACACCAGAGCCACGCAGGAAAGCGTAAAATAGGAGGGGAAAGGGTACGCGGGGAAAGAAACGAGCACAGAGGTGAACAACGGGATTCGATGCTAATAGGGTCCTGCTCTCTCGGTCTGAAGCCTGAAGACGGCCCTATAGAAAACGAGGGTGTAATATTTGTCATGTAGTCCCCCTTTGTGAAAAATACAGGGTCAGATTTTACATTTCAAAAGAAAACACCCTCTATTGTTGTCTGCCTTTCATACAGAAAACCCAATACCTTCCCCTTGCCTGTGTTTTCCCGACACGGTTTGATTATTAGCACATAAACTATACCATGCTAATTCTGATCTCTCAATACAACTCCTTCAAACCTGCCTCTCAGTGTCTCTACCTGGAATAAAGAGTCCTATAATGTCTACTAATATATTTGCTTTAAATGTTTCCATAAATCCGTTTAAGTCTTCTTGTCAGCACCAGTATCAGTTTAGACGTGTTCACTGTCTCCTAATGTGGACGATTGTACTGTAATTACTGTACAATTGTTTGTTTTGGGTGTTAAATCTGTCCGGATGACGAATCTTCATTGTTCGTACATTTTTCTAACACTCGGGGGGGGGGGGGCAATTTTCCGGCAGTGGGTGGCCGCTGCCGCTGCTGTAAAAATTGTAGGGGAAACGCCAGCTTCCTCTAACGGGGCTTAGGTCTGAGCCTACTTCAGTGAAAGGCAAGTCCGTGCATGCACATAATAGAAACACTCACCATCTCATCTGAAACACTCATGCTCACACATCCTGTCTCATAAACCTTAATGATGGAGCAGTGATAAACAGTGATTATCATGTCGGGGGGGGGTTGTTTCTTTTCCATTCCTTCAAAAGAAAACATAATCAGCATATGAAACAGAGGTAGGTGTGCATAGATGGAGGCGGGGCAGAGTGTTACGAATGTGTGTCTTTTAAAATTATGCTGGAGTGAACTGGAGGTAGACGAACTTTGTCATCCAATTATCCTCCTCACCCACCTCTCTCCTCTTCCCTTTCTTCCACTTTATGTCCTCAGATTGTTGTCATAGAGCCGGTGGGCTTCTGCGGAAGAGGGAGAGAGGCATGTGTGCGTTTCTTTACGAGGAGTTTAAATAGAGAGAGTAAAATGAGTCGACTGTAAAAGAGAAACGGGTAATAAATAATTGATTGAAGTCGCGTTTACCTCTCGGTGTGGTGGGATGACGAAAGCTCGCTGCATTTGCAACAGTGACGATTAGTGATGTCATGTGCTTGTCAGCCAGGGGACGGGAACGAGAAAAAGACGCTTTCAAAGATCTAAATGATGAAGTGTGTGTGTGTGTGTGTGTGTGTGTGTGTGTGTGTGTGTGTGTGTGTGTTCACTGAGCAGGAGCTACGATGTGAGCAGCAGTGGGCGTGATCGAGTGATCATCGAGATCATTATTAAAAAAAAAAATGAGGATATTAGGGAGTCAGATATTTATAGGTGACACGAGACGGTTTCCACTTGTTCATTGACCGTTAATCGTTCTGTATTCAAATGTTCATGTGTTGCAGTTTCAACATGTGTTTTAATCTAAAGTAAGAGAAGCAATGGAGCAGTATATTTTTTTATATTGGAACTTCAGACTGTGGGATGTAGGATAATTAATTTAAAAAAGAGAGAGAAATAAAGAAGTTATCACCTCCATTAAGCAGAGTGGGACAGCACACTGATTTACCAGAATATCCACATATCCCTTTACATTCAGTCTTAAGTGTGGAAGGACTAAAGAGTTAAACGATGGCGTCAGCCGAAGCATTCGTCTCAGAAGGAAGCGCCACTCCGACTCTGCTTTATCTCCGAGTTTTTGTTTTGCCTCCATGTGTATTTCATTGGGATGTGGGTTTGGTAAGTGGTGAACGCGATTGCCTCTCACTTTACGCAGGATCACAGAGATTAGTAACTGTAGGCGTTTTGTAAAATACTACAAGTGTTGTTGCTGTTTGAATATATTCATAGAGCACAAGGAGTCCCTGACTGCCTTCGTGTCTTTCTACGTAAAAAGGCCTTTTTCCAAACATCCTTTGCTCCTGTATACAGTCTTCCACAGGAAACTGACTGTAATCACTTTTTGAAGATAGTCACTTGGAAGGATCATTTTTTCATGAATCCGGCAGCACAGTTTCTCACATTGACACTAGCGGGCATCAAACTATGGGAGATGTGCTGACAAAATATGTTAGATGGAGGTATTTTTCTTGACTTGAGGGCAGCAACTAATGAATTTTTTATGCTCAAATGTTATTAAAGGAGCTGTGTTTAACATTCAGAGCATTAAAATATCATCAAACAACCATTATCTATGTAATAAATATAGTGGAGCACGCCGTCCCAACCGACAGCAGCTCCAAATGATCCCTACATCGGATCTTACGCCTTTAAACCAATAAAAGAAGTCACATTAAAGAGCAACATTCTGATTAATACAGATACAATCACTGAATCTGTGTGTTGAATTAGATTTGTATTGATTTGCTCTTGTATTCAGCACCGATGTTTTGCACAATAAAGCAACATGTTGAAGTAGGAAGTGGAAACAAGACATCTTAACATCTTAAACACTTTCTTCCAGAATTCAGAGGGAAACGTTTTTCTTATGAATGTAATAAGAACAATCTTATTAAAAGGTCAATAGTATTCCAAAATGTGGTTTTAGTGTGTTGCAGGCATTGTTTTATTTATATGAAGCATTATTACTCTAATCAATAAAAAGAAATGTACTAAGACTTAAATGAATATGTCGAAACTAAATCTGTGGAAAAGGAAAAACCATAAAAGAAAACTGGAAAAAGAGTTTTAAATGCCAGCTCAGATGTAGTGTTGTGTGTGTGTGTGTGTGTGTGTGTGTGTGTGTGTGTGTGTGTGTGTGT